TCTGTCTCCTCTCCACCAATAAGCTGGTGTGTGGTGGGTGTTTTGGCGCACTATGGCTGCCGTCGCATCATCCAGGTGGATGCTGCGCACTGGTGGTGGATGAGGAGATACCCCCTGACAATGTAAAGCGCTTTGAGTGCCTAGAAAAGCGCTATATAAATGTAATGAATTATTATTATTTTATTATTATTATTATTATAAAACATATTCTGCCCGGGCGGCCCGCTGCTGCCTCCACACTGCCGCCGGCTCCGCCACCTCAGCCTGCTCATCGCCGAGGGCGCCCCCTGCGGTCTCCTCCACTCCCACTCGACCACAGCAGCAGCCTCCACCCGGCCGCAGCGAGGAGATGGCCGCAGAAGGGTGGCGCAGCCCATCTCTGCCCCTAAACCTGCCAAGCGTCAGGCCAAGCGGCGTTCCTGAGACGGGCGACACGGAGATGGGGAAGTCAATCCACGGCCAGTGGTACCCAAACCTTCATTAAAAGAGCTGTTTCCTCTCGTTTTGGATGGGCTGGTGTTCCCCTAGAACCAGTGTCCAGGCATGTTATCGTGTCAACAGATGCCTCTGCCACGGGCTGGGGTGCCATGTGCAAAAGGACATGCTGTGTCAGGCTCCTGGACGGGACCCCGACTTCAGTGGCATGTCAATTGCCTCGAGTTGCTAGCAGTACGTCCGCTTCAAGGCCCTGCTGAAGGACAAGCACGTTCTGGTTCGTACGGACAACACGGCGACCGTAGCGTACATCAACCGTCAGGGTGGTCTATGCTCCCGTCACATGTCGCAATTCGCTCGCCATCTCCTCTTGTGGAGTCAGAAGCATCTGGGGTCGCTTCGTGCCGTTCACATCCCGGGCAGGCTCAATTGTGCAGCCGACGAGCTCTCACGACAGCAGTCTCGCCCCGGGGAATGGAGACTCCATCCCCAGTCGGTTCAGCTGATTTGGGACGCTTTGGAGACGCTCAGGTAGACCTGTTTGCCTCTCCAGAAAATTCCCACTGCCAGTTGTTTTACTCCCTGACCGAGGGCACCCTTGGCACGGACGCTCTGACACACAGCTGGCCTCAGGGCCTGCGCAAGTATGTATTTCCCCCAGTGAGCCTTCTTGCACAGACGTTGTGCAAAATCAGGGAGGACGAGGAGCAGGTCCTCATGGTTGCGCCTTATTGGCCCAGCCGGACCTGGTTCCCCGAACTTGTACTCCTCGCGACAGCCCATCCCTTGCCAATCCCTCTGAGGAAGGACCTTCTTTCTCAGAAACAGGGCACCCAATGGCACCCGCGTCCTGATCTTTGGAACCTACATGTGTGGGTTCTGGACGGGTCACGGAAGGTTTAGGTACCTTGCCACCTCAGGTGGTAGCTACCATCACTTCAGCTAGGGCCTCGTCTACCAGACACGCCTATGCTCTGAAGTAGAACCTCTTCGTCACTTGGTGTTCTTCACGTCGAGAAGACCCCTGGAAATCCCCAATCGGCTCAGTGCTTTCCTTTCTTCAGGAAGGTCTATGTGGCTGCCATTGCGGCTCACCATGATCCTGTTGACGGTAAGTCTCTTGGGAAACATGACCTGATCGTCAGGTTCCTGAGAGGGGCCATGAGGCTCAATCCGCCTCGCCCTCAACAAGTTCCCTCTTGGGATCTCGCAGTTGTTTTATCCACACTGCAGAGAGCTCCTTTTGAACCCTTGCTTTCAGTGGAGCTAAAATTCTTATCATTAAAAACTGCGCTCCTGACGGCTTTGGCTTCGGCTTTAAGAGGGTCGGGGACTTGCAGGCATTTTCAGTTGACGAAGCGTGCCTGGAATTCGGGCCGGCCAACTCTCACGTTATCTTGAGACCCCGGCCTGGATACGTGCCCAAAGTTCCCACCACTCCTTTTAGAGATCAGGTGGTGAACTTGCAAGCGCTGCCCCCGGAGGAGGCAGTCCCAGCCCTGGCGCTGCTCTGTCCAGTACGTGCTCTCCGCACTTACGTAGACAGAACTCAGTGCTTCAGGACCTCAGACCAGCTCTTTGTCTGTTATGGAGGCCAGCAGAAGGGAAAGGCTTTGGGTTAACTTTGGGTTATCTCACTGGATAGTGGATGCTTTTGTCTTGGCTTATCAGGCTCAACATTGCGGCTCATCATGTTCCTGTTGACGGTAAGTCGCTTGGGAAACATGACCTGATCATAAGGTTCCTGAGAGGGGCCATGAGGCACAATCTGCCTCGCCCTCAACAAGTTCCCTCTTGGGATCTCACAGTTGTTTTGTCCGTGCTGCAGAGAGCTCCTCTCGAACCCTTGCTTTCAGTGGAGCTAAAATTCTTATCATTGAAAACTGCGCTCCTGACGGCTTTGGCTTCGGTTAAGAGGGTCAGGGACTTGCAGGCATTTTCAGTTGACGAAGCGTGCCTGGAATTCGGGCCGGCCAACTCTCACGTTATCTTGAGACCCCGGCCTGGATACGTGCCCAAAGTTCCCACCACTCCTTTTAGAGATCAGGTGGTGAACTTGCAAGCGCTGCCCCCGGAGGAGGCAGACCCAGCCCTGGCGCTGCTTTGTCCAGTACGTGCTCTCCGCACTTACGTAGACAGAACTCAGTGCTTCAGGACCTCAGACCAGCTCTTTGTCTGTTATGGAGGCCAGCAGAAGGGAAAGGCTTTGGGTTAACTTTGGGTTATCTCACTGGATAGTGGATGCTATTGTCTTGGCTTACCAGGCTCAAGACCTGCCATGCCCCCTAGGGGTGAGAGCTCACTCAACTAGGAGTGTGGCTTCCTCCTGGGAGCTGGCGCATGGCGCCTCGCTAACAGACATCTGTAGAGCTGCGGGCTGGGTGACCCCTAACACATTTGCGAGATTCTATAATATCCGTGTAAAGCCTGTGTCCTCCCATATACTTGCCCCTTCGGGCAAGTAAACAGGACCTGCTCGGTGACAATTTGCTTGCTGCGCCATTCCACTCCACGGACTGGTGCTATTCTCCTCGGGTGAGTTCCACAGTTCAGAAACCTGGGTTCCTCCAGCACTGTTGGTGTCGAGCACTTGCGTGCAGGCCCTGCCCATCAGCCCCTGTGTTAGACTAGGTGCCTCCATGTGTTGTGATTCCCCTCTTAGGCAATCCCACGTGTGTATTTCCACAGTAAGTCTCTCTCGGCAGCATGTTTCTTTCCCTTGGCAAGCCACCCTTGCCATCTCTGATGTTGAAACACATCCACCCTGCGGGCTGGGTACCTCAGAGATTCATATGTATCACCGCTACGCCGGTTGATATGTGCTTTGTAAGACCTCCTACGAGCAGGCAGCCTGTTAGCATACTTACAGCTGGAATATGCTACCCAGTGCATTCTGTGTTAGGTATAGCCCTTCTCTCGTGCTGGCCTCACGACAGGGTGCTATCAGTTACGCAGGTCACTGGAAGACAGCCACTGTTGCGTTTTGGAAGGCACCCCATTCGTCACTTTATTCTGACGTAACGTCGAACGTGACCGACTGAAAGGGAACGTCTAGTTTGCGTATGTAACCCTCGTTCCCTGAAGGAGGGAACGGAGATGTTACGTCCCTTTGCCACAATTGCTGTTCCGCTGAATGGCTGGGTCACATGGCTCAGCTCCTCAGCGAAGACTTGAATGCGAGTTGCTCGCACTGCTCCTTATATACCCACACAGCTCGCGATGCAAATTCCGCAGACCAAGGTACTCAGCGTACCATTGGTTCATTCTGTTACCACTCGAAGGTGATTGGGCTCTCGGGCGAGATCCCATTCGTCAGTTTGTTCTGATGTAACGTCTCCGTTCCCTCCTTCAGGGAATGAGGGTTACATACGTAACCTGGACGTTTTCTTCAGTGTCTGAGTGCTGTGATTGGCCTATTTAAGTTCAAATCACCTTTTTAATTCAGTCATTTTCCAATCACCAGTTATGGTTGCTAAAAATTATCTCTATAAATTAATAAAATACCACAGTCTTATAGAATACTTGATTCTGATTGGCTGACAGATATACCATATAAAAAGTATATTTTAAAAGTAGCTTACAAGTGTAGAGATACACTAGAGTATGTCATTTTCAGCTTATATGGCAGTGGAAGTCACTGATGAGTTACTGGTTCAAAAGAAAGAAAGAAAGAAAGAAAGACTTCCAGGCTAATGCATTTTCTATTATTAAAATGTGTCATTGTGTACTTTCAACAAAACTATAGACTCCACAGTGTTAATTCACTGAAAAATAATGCTTAGCCTAATTACTACTTCAATTTTGCATTAAAGGTGGGGTAAGTGATTTCTGGTAGCCAATGTGATATTTCAAATCACCAAAACAATCACGCCCCTACCCCAAAAGGGTCTCGCCCCACACATACGTACGCAACCCAGGCAACGATAAGTTCTGTGAAACAAAGCAAAACCAATGTTACACCGTGTCTACACCGGACGCAAGCTGCAAAATACAAAATATACAAAATACTATAGAACTCATTATAATCAGTGATGCTGTCTACACTGGATGTGGAACAGTGCGACACGACAAATCCCCGACAGAAAACTGCTGCTGCGTTCTATTTATGACGTATTGACACAAATATCAAATTATTTTCAACGGTCGCTTTGTTGGGTCCAGTGTAGACAGACTTTAGCTGTTGCGGCGCGACAACTATTGCGTCCAGTGTAGACACAGTGTTACTCACCTATCGAGAAGAAACAAAGCAACCTCGGTGTCCGATCGCAGGCCTTCCGCTCCTTGAGTTGAGCAAGTTGAGATGATCCGATATTTACACGGGTCCTACTTCTTGCCTTATAGTAAGCCTTCTTTTGTTCCGCAGACGTTTTCCTCTTTAGTTTTTTTATCCGCCATCTCTATCTTTCTGTCGTCGCTCGACTCGGCTAATGTCCGTCCTGTGCACTGTGCGCTCTCTCCTCCACATCATGAGTAGACACGCCCCTTACTGCTGATTGGCTACAAGTTTGTTTTGCTACTCGGCCCAACTCAGTTTTCTAAAGCGTATTTGAAAAAATACATACCCCACCTTTAAGCCTATATTTCAATAATTAAAAATTACAAACATGGATTTTTGCTTCACAAGACATTGATAGACTGGAATTGTATCTTTTACTTGTGGATTATTGTGATGTATGTTATTAGCTCTCTGGACTCTCATTCTGACGGCACCCATTCACTGCTGCTAAACTTGATGGTAATGGATAGTTTAGTATGTGACTCCCACTCCCCCCTTTAAATGTGCTATGATTTATCCCCAAAACCCTCCACCTCACACTCATAACACTCCATCAGGTGGTTGGCAGGAAATGCCACAGCCAAAATCACGAACAGAAAGAGAAACAGGAGAGAGAGGAGAGAGCAGGGAAGACTAGTCACAAGAGTGTGTTTTCAGCACAGAGGGGGAGAGGAGTTACATGATTTTGCCTGGAGCGAGGAGCAGTTTTTTTTTGTTGAAAGTCTGAGTTTGTTTGCTTCTCTCTTGCGAAAAGATCACTCTATCACCGCTCCAGTATGCGCACAACAAACATCTCAATGCCCCAAATTCATCTGCATATCAGCATGAATTCACCATGTGTTAAAAAAGTTAAAGAGACGAAAAATAAAAATTGTCATCACTTACTCAGCCCCAAGTTGTTCAAAACCTGCAAGAATTTCCTCCTTCCATTGAACCTAAAATCAGGTATTTTGAAGAACATGGGTAACTTAACAGTTGATGGACCCCAATGACTTCCATAGTATATTCCATGTGTGAGTAAATGATGACAGAATTGCTTGTTTTGGGCGAACTATCCCTTTATAATACACTTTTAGCTGATTGAATCTATTACGGTATTATTTACAAGTAAGCAATATTTTCACCTAAAAGATTTGGGTAACACTTTCTATGAAGCCCATATTTATAATACAATATAAGGGTATTCTTAAGGCATTATAATGAATGTATAATGCATTATAAAAATCATTACGGTATGTTATATCATCTTATGAATATTCATAAGAACAGTTTTAATGTTTTATAATATTTAATTAGTTGTGGTTATAGCTTTTAAGAGTATGATAATTTATAACACAATGAACACGTTGCATCCACTTTTACAATGGATTATATTTCTCATAGTTATAATGTGTTATAAGTCTCATATCTTGCCATCTTTCTTATGCTACTTTACTTAAAGCCATCAAAGACCACTTATAAGTATAATAATACTAATATTTTTTTTTCTCAAACAGCCATAAGATCAGATATCAGATCAGATGAATGTGTAATAAGACTAGTATTTACTAGTTGCAAAGTTGCTTATAGTCAATAGACTAAGGGGGACCATCAAAAGAAAATGTAACCTAACATATAAACATTGCATTTTTTTTCAGTTGAAATTATTAACTAGCTCACATCAAAATTAATATTAGCCTCACAGGGAACACTCAAATAACACTCCACACCTAACCACTTA